TTTAAAATATAAAGGATACATATATTTAAAGTATAAATAATTTACTTGGGATTACGTGCAAGCATTATGCTATTTAAAATAAAGAGACTTGAGCATTTATAGATTTGGGTATCTGTATGCATGGGTCCTGAACCTGGGCTCTTTAGATACCAAGAGACAAGTATACTTCTTAATCTTCCATTATATACAGTTGCAGAGAAAGTTGAGGACAAAAAATTGGCATAGTATAATTATAAAGTATCTTAAGAAAATTAAGAGTCCTATTTTATAGTATATTTTATAGTATATTTTTCTTAACTTAAAACCATAAACAGCCTTAGCCATGCAGAGGTTTGAACTTGCAAAGGAAGGTTAATGTGTAGAATAAGTGCAAAAATTTCAAGAGTTGTTCCTAGCAGAAATGTTTAGAAGATTGTAGAGTTCTTGGAAAGCATCTTCTTACAAATCTTCTTGAAATCCTTGGACTGTTCTAATTCATACTTTTTCTCTGTGTAGATTCTTTTGGGTCTGTCATTGTATTTTGGAACCAGGACAACTCAATTCTCATGGGTTCAGTACTTCAGCATTCCTTATTATGGCTTTATGGTAAGCTGTCCTTTTATGCCCTTGTGAGCATGTTTCCAGGATGGGAACAGAGAAAATAAAACCTACCCATTTTACCTTCCCTGGTATGACCTGTGATCATCTCCCACCCAAGAATTTTTTTTCAAGAGAAATAGATGAGGAATCTCTAATAGCCTTCATTATCACAAGGTCAGGGAGTCATCTGGGGTTTTCCTTCTGTCATCCTGTTGCTTGAGGTTGAGAAAGGGTGGGGAGAATAAATCTCATAGTAAAGAAGAAAGATTGACTGATGCAAAACATTGTTTCTATTCAATAAGGAAATGAGAAGATGGGAGACTAGAATACATAGATCATGTTGAAAGGGAAATTGTAAGAGAAACAAAGGCTATGTTACATTCAACCCTGTTTAGCAAGCTAATAAACTAAAATAAAAAGTTGCCTTAATACAGTGTAACCAAGAGTCTACTACCTATCATTTTAAGTGGTTTTAATTAAAAGAACAGGAAATGTCATTACAATAAGTCTTCAGTGTTTAATGAACAACAATGTATCATTAGAATTATAAGGTTGCAGGATGACACAGAGAGAGCAGGAGGGAGGGGCTATGAGGTTATCTAGCAAGAGTTCTTCCTTCTTGGCTAATTGGAAACAACATCCCAACCCTGGACTTCTTGATTAACAACTTCAGTCACTTTGTTGTGACAGATGTAAATATGAAACTTAGTTTGTCTTTAGATATCATAGTAAGTTTAATAAACTAACCCCATAAAAGCAGAGGCCAAATGTTCTGTTCAATATGCAGATACCAAGCCACTATTAGGGA